GTTGGAGGCAGAAGCTTATGAATGGTGGGGACCCACTTTAGGAAAAGAGTAAAACATTCAGTGCAGAATCTTAGAAGGGCCCATGGACCTGATGCCCCTTAAAGCTAACTCTTCATTAACTTCAAAGTTGTATCAAGGCCAAATTTTACAGAACCAAGTTGGATATGCCTCTGAATGTCACTGAGCATGTTTGACTTTTGTTTTTTTTTCATCCACTGAAATGTGAAAGCTGCTTCACCATTTCAGTTTGGTGTTGAAGTCATTTGAAAATCACTCTGTATTTGTACATGTGCTTCCGCATTCAGGGAAGTCTTCCATCTCCAAAGGCATCCTGTGACACAAAGACTTTTAAAATGCTTTTCTTCTTGCCTGCATCTGGATAGATTTTTTCCCCCCACTAGTTTCTTAATGGTCTTTAGTGAAGGAAGTAAGTGACACTGATCAGTGAAGGTGGACAGTAAGATTTATAATGTATTTGTGCTAGCTGAATGCCAACAGAACCGGCCTTTCCCAGTGGTGCTGTACGCAGACTCAGAAAATCAATAGGGATTAACCTCTGACCCCCTTCACATACTTATACTGTGGGCTGCATCGCTTACCAATATTTCATCTGTTTCACTTAGCTCCTATTCCTTACTCAATAATGTGTGGCTAGTCTCACAAGATACTAATTAATTTTTAAAAATGAAGCATCACTTGAAACTGTGATAAAATATCACACCTTTGGAAATCAAGGCTCTTTTGGTTTATTCAGTAAACTCACATTAATTAGCATTAACTTAAAATAAGACTGGGAAGGGAGAAAGCTTTGCCCACACAAACCCCCTTATGTTAACAGTGGTGGTGGTGGGGGCTCTGTGGTCCTAACAGGACAGGTGTCCGCTGGTGTCAGTTGGGACATGGATCCCTTTCAGGATAACTGCTAATCTTACCTGTAAGACGCACTTCTTTTTTTTATGTTAAAATGATATTTATAGATAAACAGGTAAATATGGTACCTTACAATGAAATGAACCCAATGTATAATTTTATTAAGGGACTTTAATACACTGTCTGCTTGCAAACATATGCAGAGGTTTGTGTAAACATATGTGTTTGTATGAGCTGTCCTAAATTATTATTGAATAGGATGAAGAAGAGCAAAATTTGCAGTAATATACTTTTTAACTTTCCCTTTAAGCTTTGGTATATATTATTAAAGTGCTCTGCATTTGTCTTAAAAATGGAAAGTGTTATACATTTCCTTCATCCAAGACCCTTTTGTTCGCAGATTTTTTTTTGCAAGTGTACCTATTCCCCAGAGTTGACTTACAGTTTGCTATTGATCCAGCAGCTGGTATTTGAATTGGTCGATGTACTCTGCAACTTGTTTAAGATACCCTACCTGAGCTATTAGTTTAAATAATGTATTCATAAATTGATTAATCATTACAGTAAGACTTATTAGCTGCATTTATATCTGGGTGTTATCCACAATTGACTTGTAGACTAATAATCACGCATACTTAAGCAGAAGTTGCGTTTTACATTAGAATTTAATAATTATCGAGGTGGAAAACAATGGTATTTGTGTGCAGAGGTTGAGTGGATGCAGGGCTCTAAAGGTGGGACCCATTAAGCCGATTGCTGTTCTTCCTTCTCCTAGGTAAAACAGATGGTCTTCCCCCTAGTGTGAGAGAGGGAAAGTGGACCACATTCTGTCACCCTGGAAGAAGTGGTTGGGTTTGTCCAAGCTGTCCAGGCTGGCCTCACGTTTCAGGAAGATGGATGGGGCAGGAGAGGAGCTTAAAGCAAGAGTGCCTTTGTCTCCATTTCTGTAATGGCTACATTAGGCGAAGGAGGGTCCTGTGCACTGGGTTTCCAGGGAGTCCACTCACACCACAAAGCTTGTATACCTGCCCTTCAGTGAGGCTGCCTAGGAGCCAGGTTTGCCCACCAAACATACCAGGATAGTCTTTGAAAGACCTGCCCTCTGGACTCCCACGAAGAAAGCAAACAATTCAGCTAAATTCAGGGCTTAGGGCTGCATGTACTTTAAAAGATATATTAATAAACTTTATATTTTAGAGCAAACTTGAGTGTATAGTGCAGAGATTTCCTGTATGTCCTTCCCCCCACACATCTGCCCCCAGCTACAGACACTTATAATCAAACTGCATTTTAGTTAAAAACAATCTTTTGGTTGGTGGATGTTAAATTAGGGCTTTGCATTGGGTCTGCCCCACTGGGCTATTTCTGACTCCTTGGGTAGCCCCTTTTCGGCTTTCTTTATGGGAGTGAGTATCTGTCTGACTCTTTCCACTTCTTCCCTGGGAACTGAACCCCCTTTCTTCACCCCAGTAGGTTAGAAAGTCATTTTACCTTGCCACATGATTTTTCTACTTCATAAATCCCCCTTTCAAACATTATTCAACAACCTGCTAAATTAATATATACTGTGTTCTTTCGGCAACGGGGCGGGGAGCCCGTCTTGCAGCATGCATTTGCTCAGCTGTGTTAAAAGAGCGCTGCCTGCCGTGAGAAGGACATCTGCTCACAAGTGAGCAATTGTGCTCCTGATTCGGGGCAGCACCTTTGCCGCCACGCTGCACCAGATGAAAGAACAGATTGCTTTGGAGCTGCTTTTCCTGGGATCTCTCTCCCCAGCATGGGGCTTCATACATTATTGAGAGCAAACCTACTTTCCACTACCACTCCTCCCTGCACTTGTTTTGCCAACCTTATTCAGGATGTCAGCACGGATCACTTTTCTACAAAGGCCAAACGGGCCAGCCAGGGAGCTTCAGCAGATACCTTATTTACAGTGTTTAATTATCACTGTACAGATTTATTAAACTTCTTGGTTACCTGGGAGCCCATGCGGCTGTGGTACAGAGTTTGCTAAGCTTTGAATAATAGGCGTTGTCTTCTAAAACAAAAACCTTCTGTGTGTGCTGCTACCATATATGCCATGTCTGTGATGGTGATTGGTAGGGGGAGGGGGTGTTGGTAAATAGTTAACAACAGATTCTTGGGGAGGGCAACTAACACTGACTTGCAATGCTTGCTGATGCTGGTAGTGTAAATACACCATGGCCAACAGGAAGTTATGAAGCATGGAGCTAGTTTCACAAACCACGTGTGTGTGTGTGTGTGTGTGTGTGTGTGTGCTATCTCCACTATGTAGACACAATAGAGGTAAACAGCCTCAAAAGCATAGATGACAGTCAAACATATTAACATTATTCAGAAGTATTGAGTTTTGAGTATTTATTACTTTTGTTTTTTTATATAGTTTATTTAAGCATGACTTTATACAATTTAATATTTAACAATGGGTGTGTCTGGCAACTACCTCACAAAAGTCCTGGAAATTTTGCAGTTGACTCTTGAGTTGGTAACCCCCGATGGCAGCACACGCTTGTGTGTGTTTGACTCCCAGTTTTAAATTACATCCTGTGTTCGGATGAAGTTCACTCTCTCCTCCTAATTCAGGCTCATCCCTAAGGATGTCCCTGTACAGTTTTCTGCTGGGGCGTGACGAGCTGGTTGGCATGCCGCTAAGTGTCCACGACAGCAAGCAGACACATGCACCCTGGTTGGTGCACCCCAGACGAGTCTGTTGTACTGATATTAAGGACAACAGTGTTTTGCCAGAAGCTATAACAGGATGATTCTGTAACAACAGCATGGTGACACCAGACTATGTTTTGCAATTTTCTTTAATATTTATGCTGGATAAATAATTTATCTCCTTTTTTTCAGTTTTTTTTTTCTTTCCATCTTGAACATGTTGATATAGACAGGTGCTAGGTTTCCCTGGAAGACTGAAGCAAGGATTGGGTTATTTCCCACCCACTCCCACCCCCAAGAAAAATCAGAGGTGTCAGCAGAGTTGAGCCTCTGGGAATGGTTCCCATAAGTCCTCATCCCATCTACTAATACAAACTAATGAGTTCTATTAAGTATCAGCCCACACATTTGAAGGGAGTCACTTATTAATGTGACATCTTTGCAAGGCATTATAGCATCAGGATCATCATCCTCTGAGGTTTGGGGAAACTCAAAGTCATGGCTCACCTGTTATTATATGTTTGGGGCTCAATGCAGAGGCTCCTCAGAGCCCAGAGTTTCACAGTGCCAGTCCTGTTAGATTTGGTGCTGGGCCATTCATTGTTGTGGGGTTCTGTCCTGGGCACTGTAGGAGGTTGAGCAGCATCCCTGGCCTCCTCCCACTAGATACCCATAGGAAGCCCTCTCCTGAAGTAAGGATAAAAAAAAATATCTCCGGATATTGCCAAATGCCCTCTGGGTTGGGGCTCGTGGGGAAGGGGATTGCAGTAGGGGGAGAATCAGTGTTCCAGAGCCACAGTTCTTAGCCACTTAGTGTACAGGAAAGAAGAAGTAGCCATTGTTTCCTTATAATTAGCCCTCTCTCCACCTGGCTTCCAGGAACCTCCAGCCCCCTAAACGTGAGAACTGAGAATAAGGCAGCCTTATGCCACCAAATCAGCTTTGCCCAGAGATCTGGCCTGGAGGGAGAAATGCAGTGTTTCTACCCAAGGACTTCTGAGAATTGCAGACAGCATCGGGGATGGGGTCTCTAGAGTGGGTGGAATTGCGGCCTGTTCTTTCTCAGACTGTTGCTTGCTGTGCTCACAGACTAGTTTCTGAACTGTGGAGCAAGTAGGTATTTCACTGGGCACTGGGGAGCACCTCCAGTGGAAGATTTGAAAGGTTCCCACTGCCCTTGGCTGCGGATGGAGGGGTTGTGAGAGATAGGTCTTTACCCCTTTAAGGTGGCATAGACTGCAGTTACTGCAGGTTGAATTTTAGGATTGCTCTGAGGGTGCTCCAAGCCCCCTCCCAACAGAAAAGCAAGTTTTGTACAGCTCAGTTCTAGGTGAAGGGCACCCCGTGGAATTATATCATGTTAACTACACAATGGTCCGCCTGAGCCCTTTCTCCAGGCGCAAGAGGGCTGAGATTAAGCTTTCCCTTTTTTCTTCTGCAAACAGGCCTTTCCGACTTTTTAGCTGGGCCTGCCAGTATGACATTTGAGCATGATGGACTTGGTACCTTGCTGGCCCTGCCTTGCACCTGGATCCTAGGTAGCTGACCTGAGAACCTTTGGAGCTGCTGTGGTGGGAGATGTCAGTATTCATGTCTCAGGCATCATCTGAGACAGTGATTACAGCAGAAGGAGGCAAGCTCTGGGTCATGCAGACCTGAAATGTTCTTCATGGGCCACTTAGGAACTGTGTAACCCTACGGCAGTTTATTTCACCTCTCTGAGTCTTATGTTTTTTACCTGTTAAGTGGACATAATGATATTTTCATGTCAAAGTAGTGGAGCTATTAAGTTAAATAATAAGAACTAAGCATCCTTCTCAGCTCTGTGGCAGAGTAGGTCTTCAGTAAGCCACATCTATTGTTGCTATTCCTTTGGTTTTATTGCCATTTAGGTCATTTCAACAAATAATGGCCTTGAGCTGCCTTGTCCCCTCCTGCATATAGGACATAAAACTACCCAGTCTCTTCAGAGTGCCCAGCTTCTACCTCCAGTAGCCCCTTTCAGAAACAGTTAAGGAGATCAATAGTTATCTCCTTACCTTTCTGGCTGAGATGAGATTTTATGGTTGTTACTAGATCAATAGTGAAAGCACATTCTGTTAAGTTTTCCGTAGGAGTCATTAATCTCCCTCAGCCTCAGTTTCCCTATCTGTGAAGTGAGTCTAACCAGGATGATGACGAAGAGTCAGGTCAAGTAAGGTTAGCAGTCAGGCCCCAGCCACCGGCTGCGACATTGAGCACATGTTCTCTCCATCCCCAAGTCAGCCGCCAGTCAGCCTGGAATGACCCCCTTCTACCCTGAGGATCCTGTTCTCTCTTTCCTTGTCCACGTATCCAAGCTGAAGCTCTCACTCTGAACCTGGCAACATACATTTCAGTATCACAAAATGCCATTTTAGAGCCAACATTAGAGAAATTTGTGATCTCTTTTTTCTTCTAATGACTTTTCCAGGGAAACTTTCATTCTCATTTCTCCCTTGTCAGTTTTCTATAAGGTATGCATGTATTTAACATGCATCTCACACATTTGAATATTTAAACTGAATTGGGGCAGGTCTTTATATTTCCAGAAAGTTCTTATTGTGGTTCTTTTTTATGTCATCATCTACCTCTCCCCAGTAAAAGAATAGGGTAGAAATGACCATTTGCTGAGGACCCACACTGGGGCTGGTAATGGTGGGAAGGTTTCATTTTGGGGTTTTTGCAGTGGTGGAGGGGCAGTTAGGAAATCATCAGAAGAGGTCTGGTACCTGAGGCCACAGTTCTGGCTAGAACACTTGTCACTAAAGCTACTGATAACCAAAGGGTGAATCAGTGTGGGTAAGAGTTGGAGGAGTGGGGTTGTGTGACAGATAGTCGGATGATCTTAATGTTTATATTCCACTGGGGTAAGCTGTAACAAAGACCCATCATTTCCCAGATAACCAATCCTTTTAAAAGAACATCTGTTGAAACTGGCAATTTACATTCTTCTTAAAATACGGAGCGACATAATTAACCCTCTGGGGAGACTGATATTAGTTTATTAGAGACAATTTCTAGCTCTGTTTATTTTTACACTAAACGATTTGTTCAAATAGGAAAAAAAATTTTTTTAGTTGTGCTGTGGATTCACTTGTATTTTGGGTTGACTCTTCTTATCAAGGACACATAAGGTAAATAGCTAGGTGGTAATATGTGGCCACGATGACCATCAGCCATGGACTAATGGAAGCATGCTGCAAGTGCTCCACATTGTTAGACATTTGAATACCGTGGCATTGCACTAACTTTTGGCTATAATTAGTCTATTTTAAAGTGACCTAATCTGTCATCAGATGTGTGCATGTATTTAAGTGGTTCCCTTTGTCTGCAGTCATGGCATGGGCTCCATTGGCACCTCTTGTGCTGAGTGCTATGGTCCCTATATTGATCGGTACTCTCCACACGAAGATCACGGACACTTGGTCGTTTCAGACACTGGACTAATTTTGGACTCTGGCTTGTTGTGGGACAGAGAAGAGAGAAGACAGGGCCTGATAAATTGATAGTTCCTCTAATTGTTCAGATGACCTTTGAATTCAAAAGCACTCATTTGCATATCCAGTCATTTTGCCCTCAGTTCTATCTCAGTCCCTCATCCAAGGAAGTCGACTCCTGTTTCCTCATGATGACTCTTCAAATATGGGTATTCCCTTACCAAGTAACTCTTCACTTGGTAAGCACTCAGTCATTCAGAGGACCAAATGTCTCCAAGAACCTTCCCCATTACCATTTGCTGTACTGCAAAAAAGGGTTCCCTGGCAGGAGCTCACAACATAAAACTAGCCAGGAACTCAAGTGAAACTCACCATGAGCTCCTCCATTGGGCTCACGAGCCCCTGGCCTGGCCCCTGACCTGGCCTCAGGTGACTGCCCCAGTTCTCCCCAGTGGCCACCTTTATGATCTAGCCACACTGAACTGAGCTCACCAGGCTGACTCACCTGTGCCAGCCTTGCCCTCTTCCCAGGCTCCTCCTCCTGCACTCTTCACAGGTCTGGTGACAAATTGCTCTTCATCCTTTAAAACTCAGCTCTTGAATCTTGTCTTCCATGAAGCCTTCCCAGACCTCTACTCACTGAGATAACTGGTCTCCCCTGCCCTCAATGCATGACACAAGGGACACTTCTGTATCAGGATTGCCCAGTTGCACAGTCATCTTCCCTATTGGATGAAATGCTCCCTGGGGAAACAGACTGTGTTTTATTCCATTTCTAACCCTGGCCTGCACCTAGTAGGTGCTCAGTAAACAGTTGTTGAATCTAGTTCCCTCCCTTCCCCAAGCTGACCTGTATTTGAGATGTAAATGCACTTGGGTATCTTATTTTCAATGAGGTATAAGAGTTGCATCACATGTATGTGGGAGTGATTACAAAATTCGATCAAACTGGGAATCGCTGACTCATACCTGGAGTTTCTTTATTTGCAAGCTGGAAGACGAGAACTGAATTTGAAACCCCTGGAGAAAATTAGAGCATATGAAACTATTTTGAATAACAGTCATTTGAGGATTGGGGAGGGGGTGGGCAAGATGCCTCTGGAGACCTGAGAGCCACCCGCCTCTCATTACCCTTCCTTCCCCCCCTCCATCAGTTACCTTCATCAAGATCCCACAGCCCACATACTGCTGAGTCACATCTTCATCTAATATGGTTCCTGAACCTGAGTATCTTCAGCGTAGTGAGTGATAGTCTAAGGCACAGAGTGTGGGTGTGCTCTTCTGGGTTATTCTTTAATTTTCTGAAACTTGGCATTCTCCCTTAAAAATTCCTAGCCAATTTCTTGCACATCACAGTTAAATGATCACACAGAAAATGAAGTGGTTGCTGTAGCTCAAGGGGCATTTCCACAGCAAGGAAAACAGATGGTTCCACAGACACGGTGTATACAGCATATTAGGGGTGAGGAGGTAGGGTTGAACCAAGGGCTGGTGGAGACTTAACGAGGCATGTGTAAACAGCCATACAATCATGAAGGAAACATGTCTTCTGAAGGTGTGTGTGTGCATGTGTGTATCTTCAAATTGAGTAATTTATTTTTATTTTCGATTCACTAGCCACTGGTCAAGTTGACCTAGGATAAAAGCCCGCTGGACCACCTCAATGACTTTTTAGAAATTCAACCCATTCCTGTAACTTCCTAGCCTCTCTTTTATCATTGTATGTAAAGTCTACCTCACAATATGTTGAAACAAATATATTCCATATCTAGTCCACATTGGATTGATTGTGTATGATGTAAGAGCACTTTGCTACATCTAGAACAAGTGAGCAAGAGATAGTCTTTGACCTTGGGGACAGGGTCCAGGGCCTGCCTCTAGGAGGTGTTTACAGAATCCGTGTTTGCCTCCCCTCCCAAGTGAGACTGGATTTATGTTGAAATTTGCTTTATTTATTGGCTTAGGGAAATTTTATTGTGCTGCTATGTGCAGCAACTTATGGAGTTACAATTCAGGGAGTTAACTTAGTTCTTACAGAATCATCATATCAAAATATGTTTTTCCTTCAATTTGTAGCCTTTTGACAAATTACCAAGAACTTTATCCCTGATATACTAAATACTGTGGGCCACGAGTGTGAGAATGGTGAATATAAGTGTGCTGGCATCTACTTCCCAAGTCCTTTGCCTATGACAGACATCACTAATAAATCAGAATCGTGCTTAGAACATGACTCCAAGCAGCCATTACTAGTTATCTGGAGTCAGGGTAGGAGACACTTTTTATCTGCCATCCTAGCAAAGTGATATTTTGGTAAAAGCATCACCGTTCTTCCTGCAGAATACAGATCGCCCCCCTGTATATTGGTCACACCTTTGGAGATCTTATTCCCAGCAATATTTAGCAGTCATAGCTTGGCCTTCCTCCTGGGAGAAGGCTGGAAAAACTTCAAGCCAGTCACCTATTGGTATAATATATGTTTTCTACTTCCATTTTCTGCCTGGGCCTGACACTCCTCTCCAACCATAAGCTGGAGCTGTGTCAGAAAAAGTTCTCCATTAAGGATTTGTGTATTAAGGATGGCAAATAGACATATGAAAAGATGCTCAATGTCATTAACCATCAGAGAAATGCAAATTAAAACCATAATGAGCTATCACCTCCACCTGTCAGAATGGCTATCATCAATAAATCAACAGGCAAGTGTTGGCAAGGATGTGGAAAAAAAGGAACCTTAGTATGCTGCAGTTGGAAATGTAGACTGGTACAACCACTATGGAAATAGTGTGGAATTTCCTCAAAAAATTAAAAGTGGAACTGCCATTTGACCCAGTGATCCTACTTCTAGGAATATATCCTAAGAATCCTGAACCACCAATCAGAAGGAATATATGCACCCCTATGTTTATTGCAGTGTTATTTACAATAGCCAAGATATGGAAGCAGCCCAAGAATCCATCAATAGAGGAGCAGATAAAAATCTGTGGTGCATATATGCATTGGAATATTACTCAGCCATAAAAAAGAAGGAAATCTTACCATTTGTGACAGCACAGAAGGACCTAGCGGGTATTATGCTAAGGGAAATAAGTCAGTCAGAAAAAGACAAATACCATATGATTTCACTTATATGTGGAATCTAAAGAATAATATAAATGAACAAACAAAACAGAAACAGAAGACACAGATACTAAGAACAGACTGATGGTTGTCAAAGGAGTTGGGGGACTGGGTGAAAAAAGGTGGAGGAATTGGGAAATACAGATTGGTAGTTACAAATTAGTAATGGGACATAAAGTATAGCATAGGGAATATCTATCCTGTATAATAAAAGGCCTGCAACCATAATGGCGTAATGACCTGAATGACCAATCGACCAGTCGTCATGAGGTGCATTGACCACCTCTTGGTCCCTCCCCACAGCCTGCAGGCTCCGATCGCCTGATGGTGCACGGAGAACCAGGATGGGTGTCAGCAGTGGGGGGGGGGGGTGGACTGGGGACTGGCGAGCGGATAGAACGGCTGACCTCTTGGTCCCTCCCCCCGGCCCGCAGGCTCTGATAGATCACCAGATGGCGAACAGGGAACCGTGGTGGATGTCAGCAGTGGGGCAGGACTGGGGACTGGCGAATGGGCGGAAGATGACCCTGATCACAGACTAGGCCGAGGCACCCTACCTGCACACAATTTTGTGTGCTGGGCCTCTAGTATATATATATATATATAAAAGCCTAAGCGACTATTAAGACCTGTTGACCGAACAACCGGTCAACCAGTTGCTATGATGTGCACTGACCACCAGAGGGCAGACGCTCAATGCAGGAGCTGCCCCCTGGTGGTCAGTGCATTCCCACAGCCAACCTCCCGCGGCCCCTTCCCCTGGCTGGCTGACCCCGATTGGCCCCATTTGGGACTGGATGAGAGGGCCCTGATGGAGCCAGGGCCTCTAGTAATTAATAATGTAATAACTATCTGTGGTGTTGGGTAGGTACTGGAAATATGGGGTGGGGGAATACTTAGTAAAGTATTTGATTGTCTAACCACTATATGCTGTACACCTAAAATTAATACAAAATGGTACTGAATGTAAACTGAATGGTACTGAATGGTACTGAATGTAATTGAAAAAAATTTAAAAATAAAATAAAGAAAAAAATATTGTGTATGGAGACAGGTGGCTATTAGTGTTCTGGTCTAAAAGCTTTTCTGGAACCGAAAGGACCCATCGCAATGGCAGTCTTACCCCGGTCAGTGAAAGTATGATTTCACTTACGAATACAAAGTTTCAGGAACATATCTGTTGCATCAAGCTGTGTCTGTTTGTGTGAGTAATTAATGTGTGTGCCTATTATTCCCTTAGATAGCAGAGCTTAGCAATTATATTGTCATTCTAGGTCCCTACAGTGTCAATTGAGTCATTTCTAAAATATCTTTAGGCTGCTTAAACTGACTCATTTTTTGTAACTTCTGATTTAATGACATAAGAAAAGCAACATAAATATAGCTGGTACCTATATAGAACTTCCCATGTGCTTATAAACATAAGTATATAATACATAGCACTCTTTCTGTAAACGAACCTTTCACCACAATCCTATCACCATTTCAGATATCAGACAAGGGAGGCACATAGGAGATAAGTAACCAGCCCAAAAGTGTATAGCTGAAGTATTTGTCTGACGCTCTGCTGTGTTTTACCCACTGAATACTATGGGATTCCCCCTAAATGTTTGGACAGATTAATGCTAACACTTTCTTACTGAGCCAGGCCAGGATTCCAGACTTTTAAAATGATTAGAAGGTAACAAAGTTGGGAACCAGAGGCTTAGAGAAGGTCTGAATCTCAAGGCAGTGTCTTTCCTGTTGCATTTTAGACAGGTCAATAAGTAAACATGAAGCAAACACAAAGCAACAAGCAAACAAAAGAAAATAAAACCAGCAGCAAATCACTTTTGTGCCACTTGAAAATTCTTTTGTTGGCAGCCTTCCACAGACCCGTGTGATGCACAGGCAGGAGTCTATGTGTGAGGCTCACGTGTGCTTTGACTGGAAACACGCCTTCTCCTGGGTTGGCGTGGCTGTGGCCTAATGGACTGCACATCACCATCTTTTTGAGGAAATAAATGTAAAGCTTGGCCATTGGCCCCTGAGTCAGCACATTGGACTTTATGTCAATTAGCTTCCCTCTCCTCTTTATGGTATGGCCTTTCCTGTAATTACAGTCAAGATCCTATAGCCGGAGGAAGGCCTGTCAATTGAGTAACAGCTGATGTCCATCGCGCTGTGACAGCCGGTTCTGAGGGTTTTAGGCCTGTCCTTAGAGACCCTTGTTATTTCCTCCTTCGGTACTTTGCCTCAGCCCACTCACCACTGTCAGGTGGACGGAGGTGTCTTATTCTGTGGTTGAGCCCAGGAGGTCAGGCCCCTGGGATGGGATATACTGCAAAGTAGAGATGTTTTATTGATTTGTATTGTTTTTAATTAAAAATAATTTTTAAAATACCCGTATGTGGGCACATAGGAAAAGATCTAGAAAGATAAGTAGTGGACTTTTCATCAGGTTTTCCCCTGGGGAGTGGGTTTGGGTAGGAAGTCACAGGGAAATAATCTTGCATGACTTTAGACCAATCTGTGAGCATGGATTACTTTTATAATTTCAAATTACTATATAGTTAAAAAGTCAAAATCTATAAACTTATTTCTAATGGTCAGAAATTCCCCAAGAGAGGAAAAATTTAAATGGGAATCACAAAAATCTGGGGTGCCTTTAGCTGAAGTATGGATTTTCATTATTGCTTTCAGAATTTTTAGCCAATTAGAGCTCATACGTCTTTTTGACTGTTTTTCTACATGGGTGATTAGCTTCCCCCGCTGCCCTTTCCCCCATTTCCCAGCAATTTTCTGTCTCAGAAAATGAAGCATACATCTGCAGTCATCACTGGTGTCCTGCCTTTTTAAACTTATAAACAAATGAGTGCCAGCATGGCAGAGCAGATACAAAGATCACTGAAGATGCTGTTGTGGTTTGTAGCCCTGTTGGAGAATTTTGTATCTGTGAGGAGATAATAGTGGAATTTAGGGGAGGAATCATGTCTGTTCATAGGTGGCTGGCATTCTGTGGGTCTATTCAACTCACTTGGCCACTGTTGTAATGTGAGAGGTGTCTATGCCACTGTATGACTATTGCTTTTCCAGGGTCATGTTGTGGTGAATGGGCTTGTCCATCCCACTTGCTTTGGAGCATGTGGACCCAAAAGCAGGACTGTGTTCGACTCACCCCAAGTTTTTGGTTTTCTGCCAACAGGCCCCTTTGGTTTTCTACTAATTGCCAAAAATTAGCTTTCTCGTTATGTGTTTGAGATTGCTGTTCCCAAGTGGATGGGGCACTCTTTGAAAACCAGAGTCCTTGGATAGCTCACTCCAACCTACGTGGGACACCTTTCTGAGCCATCTACATGGAAGGAGAGAAAATGCTCTTGCTCTTCAGTTCTCTCCTTTTCAGCTCTGTCAAACCACCAGGAAGGAAAACCAAATAGTCAAAAATCAAGAGTTAAATTTTGCCAAGATGATATCAGCAGCAAACTTCGGGAGAATGATTGTGAGGGGAACCAGGGGCTGTGGGATGCTAAGGCGTGGAGCCCTCTGTGTAGGCCTATTGCTTTGGGTAAAATAACTGGCCACGTTAGATAATGTTTCCACACAGGCTTGTGGTGGTGTTTAGGGAAACTCAAGGGAGCATATATGCATGGGGAAGTTGGACCAAATGATTTTATAAAAATACAGATCCATTAAAAAGGCCCATATTTTGCTCTGAAAGCTGGTTTTCTTATTTATAATTTGTTTCTTTCAAGATTTTTTTTTCAATTCTTAAATAGACTTTTTTTTTTTTTTTACAGCAGCTTTTGGGTGACAACAAAATTAAGTGGAAAGTACATAGATTTCCCATATACCCTTTGCCCC